GCGGCAGAGGTCGCCCCCAGGCCAGACCAAGGGGGAGAGAAGAAATGGAGCAGCTCCCTGGAACGGCCCCCCTCCCCCTGGCGCCGCTGCCGCCTCCCAGGAACAAGCTCACCTGGAGACCTACGTCTCGCCTCTATAGAGCAGCAGAAGCCGCCCCTGGCTCCACCACGGGGGAGAGCGGAACGAACTGACCGGCTTCCATGTGGCAGCCACCCTTCCCCCATGGGACCCGCACCTTAATGGCACTGCCCCCACTCCCCACTCAGCAAGCTGAGTGGGACAGGTGCGTCTGGCGACCTGGAGCAGCAGAGGCCGCTCCCAGGCCCGGCAGCCAGGAGAAGGCAGCTATTCCACCAGTTCACCAGGGGCAGCCTTGCTCTGCCCCCCTGCCTATGCCACCGCCCGCTGACCTAACCGCCCCACCTCCAAGGAGCAAGCTTACCTGGAGTCCAACATCTGGCGAATCTCTGGCAGCCAAGGCACCCCCAGGCCAGGCTGCAGGGAAGAGAAGAAATCGACCGGCTTGCCCGGGCAGCCTCCCACGTGACACCGCCTCCGCCGCCCCCGCCGCCCCAAACCATTGCACTAGCCTCCCGGGGTCAGGCTGACTGCGAGGATGTGCACTTGCCTTCTGATCCTGGCCATGTGCCTGAGCACCTCCCTGCACCCCTACACTCCCTGCACCTCTGCACACCTGCACCCCCTGCATCCCCTGAACTGCCTGCACCCTCCACAGCCCCTGCACCCCTGCCACCACTTACACCTTTGCACTGCGTACACTCCTGCACCCCTGCATGTCCCACACACCAACTCTTCAGCCTGTGGCACAGTCTCTGCTGTTAGACCAATGCACAGGAACTCACATCTTTGCCAGTATATGATGCATCAGTGGACGTTTGGGGTTGGCTACAGGAAGGTACATGTCCCGGTCACTAGCCTGGGCCACTAGGGTGATCTCTGTGAGGTCACCCAGGATGGGCTCAGAGATGCTGTTTTCTGGGAAGAGAGAAATTGCAACTGGTCTTGAGGGCAGAGCTGTGCTCACCAGGCCGTTCAGGTTTCATGTTTTACACAGGGCTTGGGGAAGTGAAATGGATCTGGCCAAGTAAGACCTGCCTGCTGTGTGCCCAATTCAGTCCTGGGCTCTGAGGCAGACCGACTGGCTCCCACTCTCAAGGCCCAGTTTGGGCACCTGAATGGTCCCTTGGAGGCATCCCATCAGTTCTCAGGAAGAAATCTTGCTGCTTCCACCCCCACGGCCCTCCCTCCCACTGTGCTGGCCTCAGGAAGGTTCCTTACTTGGGGAAGAAGGCAGCCCACCCCCTAACCCACCCCTCACCGTGCTCTCATCCAGGCTGCTGCTCTCTCTGCCCGTCAGAGTCTGGAAAGCCATCCCTCTTCAGTTATGCCCCTTCTGAGATGGACTTGCTTCCACTCAATTCTAGGCAAGGATGCACCATGGAATGCACTGTGTAAGAGAACCAAAATAAATAGTTTCTTCTGTGAGGTTTTCTGTTTATCTACTGGGGCTGGGCTGTGTGTAGTTTGCTACAGCTATTGGTGTGAGAGGCTAAAGCCGCCTTTGTGTCCTTGTTTTCATCTCCCCGCTGTCTTTGGGTTTTCCCAAGACACTCCTGAGACATTTACTTCTTTTAGTTTTATTCCTGTTATTACACAGAGGCCCTACTGTCATAGAGGTAAGGTGTTGAGGGAGTAGAACAGAGCAGGACATCTGTAGTTCTGTGATTAGTTCTCATTGAGCCTATGCCCTGACCTGTGACCTCCACAACTGTGTCTCTTTCCCCCAGCCCAATTTGGATGAGACAGAGGGATTTCCCTTCCCCCAGGATGGTTAGGCTCTGGTAAAATAATTTCTCACTAAAAAAACAAACAAACCAAAAACAACTTCCCCCAATGAAACAGAATGTTCTGGGTGTATTTCAATAGAGTTATTTTCTCCTTACCAGGCAGGAAGCATGTGGAGTTTTTCTCTGACCTTCATTCTGAGAACAGGACATGGTCCTGGAGGTAAAATGCATGAAAAAGAGCAGGGGGCCCCTCTGACCGGCCCCCTGGAGTTGTCACACTCAGACTTCCCCACGCTGAGCCTCCTGCTGGCCTCAGGGACCTGTAAAATCTGCCTGCCCCCAGGGTTCTTACAAAAGCGGGTTCTGCCCTGGGGGCTGTGACTCTCCATGCCTGCCCGGCTGCCTCTCTGGGTTGGGACCAACTTTGCCCCTCAGTTTTCTGGGATCTAAAAAGAGCAGTAGGTTTGCAGCTCCCTCAGCACTGGTGTTCTTTTCAGGACAGAAGGAGCAAATTATGAGCTCCACATGAGCTGGACCAGAGGCTGGAAGCCTCCCCTCCTTTGCCTCCGTGCAATCAGTGGCTGTGGTTCTAGCGGAGTTGTTGAAGATGCGGATTTAAACACACACATCCCAGCCCCAACAGGAGCATACAGTCCCATAAATCCCCTCAGTTTCCACTGGTAACTACGGAGCTGATGGGGACACGGGTTTTGGGACCACAGAGGCCTGACTGCACGACTTGCTCCATGGCCTATTAACGTGGTTGTTCTGGGCCTTGTCTGAAGTGGCTTGCTTACTGCACGTGGTACATGGGAAACACAAAATAAGTACTAGAACCTTCACTTTTTCTCCCTCCAGGGCCTTCAAACATAGAAAGTAATAAGTGAACTCAGACGGCCTAGTCACCACAATGAGGTCCGTCCAGTCTGGCTCTCCTGAGTGATGGGCACTGACTTTCACCTTAACTCGGAACAGTAGGAGAGCCACCTTCTTCTAACTGGGCATCTCCCCAAACCAGGCACGCCCTCAGCTGAAACGGAGTCAACTCCCCCATTGAGGTGTGTGCTGGTGGCTTCAGTGTGACCTGGCCCTGCCAGGACATGAACCTGCAGTGAATGAGGTGGAGGGTCGGGTGGAGGGGTGTCCCTCCTGGGGTGGCAGGGCACCCAGTAGAACCCCGCCCGGCCTGGTGCCTGGGGCTCCCTAACACCTACAGCTCCTGGGTTGGCTCCGGTCCTGGCCACTCCACACACCCTCCCAGTATCTTTTCATTAAGTCCCTTTTTTGCTTTTATCAGGGAGAAGTGGCTTCTGTTGCTTGTTCAGTGAAACAGTGCATCGGGAAACCAGACTATTTCTAACATCAGTAAGATACCAACCTCGGTCAGCTTGCCAGGCAGACCGTGCAGCACAAAGGCCTGCACAGGGCTGTGCCAATGGCTTACGTGAAGGGTCCTCATCATCTGTCTTCAGAGATACAGAAGCTGGTGGTTCAGGTAAAACCTCAGGGAGGGATTGAGGAATCCAAAGCTGGTTGGTTTCAAAGGCTAACTGGTCAGAACAGACCCCTGAGCTGTGGTCAGAAGCCTGGCTCAACATCATGCAGACTCAGCACCCTAAGTGCCGGGTGGGGCCAGTGGTGTTCCCTTTGCAGACACTTTTTGGGGGTTCACTGTAGCCCCTTAAATGCAGCAGAGATTCCAGCCCCCTTAGCCCCCACCCTGAGTGTTACATGACACAAATCCCAGGAGTGTTTAATTTTCATCTTTGTTTAGGAGGATGAAGGTGGGGCAAGAGGAGACATAAATTCATACTGACTGACACAAGGTCACAGCCAGTACCTCCTCCTCAGAGAGCTATGTGCTCCCACAGTGGTGGCTGGGGGGCTGGGCAGAGACCCTCTGCTGGTCCCAGAAGGACTCGCTCCTCTGGCCACAACTGGTGGGTTGGACAACAGATCCAGAGGGAGACAGAGCATCTTTCCTGGGAATTTGGAACTGATACACAGAAATCAAGTT